AAGAAATCCAAAGAGAAATCAAAATTATCTTGAGACAAGTGAAAATAATAATACAACATACCAAAACTTCTGGAATGCAGCAAAAGACGTTCGAAGAGGGAAGTTTACATTGATAAATGCCTACATTAAGGCAAAAAAAAATCTCAAATGAACAACTTAACTTTGTTACCTCAAGAAAATAGAAAAAAACTAAGACAAAGATAGAAAAGGGAAGGAAATAATAAATATTGGAGCATAAATACATGAAATAGTGACTAGAAAGAAAATAAAAAATATCAATTTAACTAATAGTTGCTTTTTGAAGATAAACAAAATTGACAAACCTTCAGCCAAACTAAGAAAAAAGGAATGATGATTCAACAAAATAAAATACAAATTAAAGAGGAGATATTGCAACAGAAATAAAAAAAGATTATAGAGACTGCTATGAAGAATTATATACCAACAAATACAATAACCTAGAAGAAATTGATAAAGCTAGACACACAGAATCTACCAAGTCATGAAGAAATAGAAAATCTGAAAAAACTTGCGTAATGAGTACCTGATAATAAATAAGGAGAATAAATCAGAAATTTAAAAATCTCCCAATAAAGATAAGTTCAAGATCAAACACTTGAAGGAAACATTTTCAATCTTATTTTATGAGGTCACTATTATACAATGCCAAAGCCAGATAAGGACACTACAAATAAAGAAAATTACAGGGCAATATCTCTGATGAACACAGATATCAAAATCCTCATAAAAATACTAGCAAACAAAATTCAACAGCTTATCAAAAGGAACATTCACCATAATTAAGAGGTATTTATCCTTGGAATAAATAGATAATTCAACATACATGAGTCAATAAATGTGATATAGTATTCTCACTTATGCTTGGTTTCCCTTTTCATGGTTTCAGTTGCCTGTACTCAATCACAGTCTCAAAATATTAAATGGAAATTTTCAGAAAAACAATTCATAGGTTTTGAATTGTGCACTGTTCTGAGTAGCAGGATGAAATCTTACACTGTTCTATTTCCTCCCACCTATGAGGTGAACCATTCCTTTGTTCAGGGGATCCACACTGTATCACAACCCACCTGTTAGACACTGACACCATATGCTCCTGGCATCCAACCATCAACATTGTCATAGCTCAATAACCAAGGGTTACTCAAAGCAGATGGTCTTCCTTCTTTTTCATAGGTATATACATATAATGAAAAGCATACTATATGTAGGTTTCAGTACAATCTACAGTTTCAGGCATCCACAGGTGTCTTGGAATGTATCCCCCCATACATAAAGGGGGGGATACATACTCTACACCACCTTCACAGAATAAAGAATAAAAATCATATTGTCATCTTAGATGCAGAAAAAGCATTTGACAAAATTCAGCATCCTGTCACGATAAAATCTCCCAACAAATTAGGTACAGAAAGAACGTATCTGAGCATAATAAAGGATATATAAGTCCTCAGCTAATGTCATAATGAATGGTAAAATGTTGAAAGCTTTTGCTGAGATTAGGAATAAGATGAGGAAGACGTATGAGTGCGTTTTTACACTGCTATAAAGAACTGCCCAAAACTGGGTAATACATAAAGGAAAAAGATTTAATTGACTCACAGTTCAGTACAGCTGGGGAGAGCTCAGGACACTAACAATCATGGCAGAAGACAAAAGGGAAGCAAGGCACTTGTTCACAAGGCAGCAAGAAGGAGAATTGCCAAGTGAAAGGGGAAGAACTCCTTATAAAACCATCAGACCTCGTGAGAACTCCCTATCACAAGAACCGCCTGGGGGAAACAACCCCATGATTTAATTACCTTCACCTGGTCTCCTTTGACATGTGGAGATTATGGAGCTTATGGGGTTTACAAATGAAGATGAGATTTGGGTGGGGAAATAAAGCCTAACCTTATCAGGTGTCCACTCTTACTACTCTCAATCAACGTAGTATTATGATTACTAGCCAGAGCAATTAGGCAAATAAAAGAAATAACATTCATCTGAATTGGAAAGGAAGAAGGCAAATTATCTCTGTTTGCAGATGACATGATCTTATATATAGGAAACCCTAAACTCTAGCTAAAGTGCTATTAGAAACTAATAAAGAAATTCAATAAAGCTGCAAGAAACAAAATCGACATATGAAAATCTGTTGTGCTTCTATACTAACAAATATCCAAAAAAGAATTAAGAAATCAAAGCAATAGCATCAAAAATAATGAAATATTTAGGAATAAATTTAGCCAAGGAGATAAAAGATCTATACACTGAAAACTATAAGACATAAAAGAAACAAATGGAAGAAGACACAAATATAAATTGAAATATTTTCTGTGTTCATGGATTGGAAGAATTAATACTGTTAAAATATCCACATTACCCAAAGTGATATTCAGATTCAATGCAGTCATTATCAAAATTTCAATGCTTTTTTTTTTTTTTTTTTTTTTTAGAAAACGGAGAAAAAAAGGCCAGGTGCAGTGGCTCACACCTGTAATCCCATCAATTTGGGAGGCTAAGATGGGCAGATCACCTGAGGTCAGGTGTTCCGGACTAACCTTGGCCAACATGGCAAAACCCCATCTCTACTAAAAATTACCAAAAAAGTTAAGCCAGGCATGGTGGTGGTGTGTGCCTGTAATCACAGCTACTCAGGAGGCTGAGGTGGGAGCATCACTTGAACCTGGGAGAATAAGGTTGCAGTAAGCTGAGATCACGCCATTGCACTCCAGCCTGGGTGACAAGAGGGAAACTCTATCTCAAAAAAAGAAAGAAAGAAAAAGAAAATGTAGAAAAAACAATTCTAAAAAACAGAATTGGTATTCTGTTTAGTAACAGTTTAAGGTCTGAGTATCAGCAAGCTTTCAGTAAATACTTGTTGAGTGAGGCTCAAAGGCATCACCAGTGGAAGAAATAACTGGAGAGATTTGCATAAGGCGCGGTCACTCCTACTGATGATTTCTCATTAGCAAAAGTGCAGTCAATGACACAGAGCTCCACTTGCGAGACTTGCTGCAGGGCTCACAACAGAAGAGGCATAGCCCTTGCAATGTATGATGAAGAATGACTCAGTCTTGTTCTCTTGACTATTCCTGTGAAGATTCCATTTACAGTAAAAATAGGGACATATTTTAAGTATTATTTTGTAGAATAAAAAGTTGGGAAAGTTTTCTTTTCCTTTTATTATTCAAGGTTAGGACAATGTTGAAGAATATTTATGGACTTTGATACTTATACAGAAAAGAAGGATTGGTGCATTTAAAGCAATTGGAGAAAAAATACAATGAACAATTTTCACATTTAAAAAATAATAGAGTTAAATTAAAAGAATAAGAACAGAGTTTATAATAACAGTCCCAGTGGATAGTAAGAGTTTAAAAGTAACAATCCTTTAATGTAATTTTTATTTGTTTAAATTATTCAAAAACTGAAGTCACAAAGAAATGGTTGAAAGCCAAATAAAATCAGAGAAAAGAGTAAAAGTGGATCTTAGAAAAAATAATTTTTAAGAAGATTATTTGAAATACCATGTCTAGATATGTTCTTGCCTGATTCTGTAATCTGTGACCCAGAGTTCACCCTTTGATATGCACTATTCTCCTGTACAATTCATGTCCTGTAATGACTTCTCCTTTTCTCAGTTCATTTCTCAGAGATTTATGTTTTTTTAACTTAAGAACTATTTTATTGGCAGCATTCGCCTCATTGTTGTGACTTCTGAAGAAAAAAGTGGTAGTTTTAAAATAACATGTAACCTTAATTTCATTCATTCATTCATTCAGATATTCAATATTAAGATACTAGGCATTATGCAAAAGAATTTTCAATAGTAAATAAGTGAAAGAAGACCACTTATTGCCTGAAAAGTGCTAGAAATGGCCACTGCAAAGTGTGATGAGAACTACGGTAAAGACTCAAAGTCCTTTGGGAATTCATTTATTTACTTATTTTTTAAACAATTTCACAGAACTTTTCTTTACCTGTATTCTTTACAATAAATTTCTTTTGTTTGGAGAATTTATGAATACTTGTAAGCTATAGGGACTGGTTAGCTTTATTTGTTAAGACAAAAATGGTCCAACTGCCAAAATCTGGCTTACTCGCAAGTAAGCACCATTCTTTGTTCCTTTGTTCCTTTGGGAGGAAGGTGTTTCTTGTCCCTTTTACGTAGAGATCCAGAAAAAAGCCTCATAGAGGAGATACTGGCATTTGAGCTGTTACTTAAGAATAGGTAGCACTTAAACAGGACTAGCAGAAAGCGTACTAGAATCATAGCAACAGAAAAGCGAATGAGTTAGAAAGTGTGGTGTGTGTACATGTAGAGAAACCTGGGGTGTTTTAAACGGAAGTTGAGATGCACGCTGTGATGGTCTTGAAAGCCAGCGAAGATAACAGGGAAACATTGAAAGATTTTCATAAGGAATTTATATAATGAGACTTCTACTTGAGGAAGATTAATATGATAGTGATGTAGAATAATCGGAGGAAAAAGAGACTTTGAGTAGAGAGATCAGTTAAGGGATCATATCAGTCAGGACAGGCTAGGATGCTGTATAACTACAGACTCCAAAGTCTCTGTGGATTAAACTAACAAAGACAGCAAGGAGGTATTTCTTGCTCCTTCTCCATGTACATTTTGAGCCCATGTGTGAAGGGTGGGGGAAACTGATCTATATATTCTACACTTAGGCATCCATCTGGAAGATCAGCCGTCTCGATAGTATGGTGAATTATGCACTGGCTTGTAAAACTTGTACTCAATCTAAGAGTAACACATGTCAGTTCTGTTCACATTTCATTGACTGTCTATGCCTAACTTCAGGGTGAGCAAATGTAATCCTACTATATGCTCAAAAGGAGAATGACTGGAAATATCTATGAATATTTCAGTCCCCTCAAGAGGAGATTGCAATAGTTCAGCCAATGAGAGTGTAAGCAGTAGGAATGAAAAGAAATAGGAAAATAGTAGAAATACTTCAGAAATAGAGGCCGCGGCAGCGAGCACACCCCGGCACTTCCTCTGCGGCACCCGCGCCTGGCAAGCGCAGGGCCGCAGCGTACGCCCGCAGAGTGGCGCCAACCCTGCACTGGCTGCGGGCTGCGCCCGCGCTGCCTGCCGGCCCTTCACCGCTGCAAGGGTTAACGCGGCCACCGGGCGGCGCCGAGATCGACTCCGCAGGATGAGGGAGTGGTGGGTCCAGGTAGGCTGTTGGCAGCGCCCCGTTTGCTGCGTACCTGCACATCCCACCCCCTCAGCTCTCCCCTGCCCTTCGGTCATGGAAGTCTTCAGGCAAGTGTTTCACTTATAAGGGACTGCGTATTTTCTACCAAGACTCTGCGGGTGTGGTTGGAAGTCCGGGGATAGTTGTGCTTTTACACGGTTTTCCAACATCCAGCTAAGATTGGTACCAGATTTGAGAAGGTTTGACCTCGACATTTCATTGGGGGATTGCCCTTGATTTCTTAGGCTTTGTCTTTAGTGACAAATCGAGACCACATCACTGTTTCATATCTGAGCAGGTCAGCATCGTGGAAGTGCTTTTGTGGCATCTGGGGCTCCAGAACAGCAGGATCAACCTTCTGTCTCATGACTATGGAGATATTGTTGCTCAGAAGCTTCCCTACAGGTAGGAGCAGAATTGATCTAGTCAGCTTACCATAAAGAGTCTCTGTCAAATGGAGGTATCTTTCCTGAGTCCAGTCCACTCCTCCAAAAGCTACTCAGAGACAGAGGTGTGCGGTCACCCATCCTCACACGACTGATGAACTTCTTTGTATTCTCTCGAGTTCTCACCCCAGTCTTTGGGCCGTATACTCGGCCCTCTGACAGTGAGCTGTGGGCCTGTGGTCAGGGATCCACAACAAGGACGGGAACTGAGTCATCCACAGTCTCTTCCAGTGCATCAATCAGAGGAAGAAGTTCAGAAGGCGCTGGGTGGGAGCTCTTGCTTCTGTAACTATCCCCACTCATTTTTTCTATGGACCTTTGGATCCTGTAAGTCCCTCACCAGAGGTTTTGGGCTGTACAGGAAAATGCTGCCGCAGTCCACAGTGTCGATTCTGGATGACCACATTAGCCACTATCCAAGGCTAGAGGATCCCATGGGCTTCTTGAATGCATATATGGGCTTCATCAACTCCTTCTGAGCTTCCCTATATTACCTCCCCTACTCCCTTATCTGTTGTGAAGAAATGCCCCGGTCATCAAACAGTATTCTCTCACCAAGTCCACTTTACTCAAATTGGTGAACGTGTATAGGAAGAAGCCAGCAGGAGCTCTGACTAAGGTTGACATGATAGTCCACCTCCCATTACTTTGACATCTGATCAAATATATGGACTTGGCTTTGCTTTTGTGTTATTAGGAGATTCTGACGAGCATTACTATTCACTGATGCAGAAAGATTCTTTTGCATAAAAGACTTTTTAATACTTTGGACTTCTCTGAAATATTTAGAAGTGCTAATTTCTGGCCCAGCCCCCTCAGGAATCCTATAGTGAGAATGAGGAGGGGCCCTCCTTTCCTCTCCCTGAATGGCTTTAGCTTTATGGGCACATGCTTTTTAAAAGTTCTTTAAGCAACACAGAGCTGAGTCCTCTGTCATACCTTTAGATTTAGTTTCATCAGCTGTTTTTAGTTATAAACATTTTGTTAAAATAGATATTGGTTTAAATAATATACCACTCTAAGTATGATTTACCTACACATTATATATATTTTATAAAGATACTAAACCAGCATACCCTTACCCTACCGGAATAGTGAACCTAATTAAACATGTTTGATTTCTGAATAAATTGAACTAAATCCAAACTATTTCCTAAAATCACAGGACATTAAGGGTCAATAGCATCTGTGCCAGAGATTTACTGTTATTGGCTGGAAAGACCAATTCGAACAGCAAATAACAATCTGAGACTCCTCATACCTCAGTGCTTAGAAGCATGTCTCTCTTGAGCTACCGTAGAGGGGAAGGGATTGTTGTGTAGTCCAAATCAACATGCTGAATATACACTGATTCCTTTAATGTACATTCCTGTACTTTACAGATAGGAAAGTTGCAGAAACTTTAAGGACAAATTCTGAAAGACCTATGAACAAATGGTGCTGAATACTTTTTTTTTAAACACATTTCTTTGTCTCAGTCAAAGCAGGATTATTAAGTGATTATTTAAAATTCATTTTTTAATTAACAACTTCAAGTATAACAACTTTGAAACCGGAATAAGTGTTTATTTTCTATTAATAAAAATGAATTGTGACCAAAAAAAAGAAATAGAATCAAGACCTTGTTCATTGATATAATAGTGGGAAGAAAGAAAAGGATCTAGTAGGAATCTAATAGTTTATGCCTTGAGACTGATGGGACCCTCAGCAAAAATTTGGAAATAGGAGGGAAAAAACTTGATGGAGGTGGGTGAAGTCTGTGGAAAGAATGGGATACTTCAAAGTGAGAATGTTTAGCTGTTAAGTTTAAGCCACGTTAAGCTATAAGTTCTGGCAGGAATATGCAAGTAAGAATATCCGAAGGAGATAGAAAATTAGAGATGGAGCTCACTCACAGAGGTGGTCAAATATGTAAATAAAGATTTTGAAGTCACTAACATAGAAGTAATATTTAAATCTGTAGGCCTAGATGAGACTGCAGATTTCATATCATTAGATTGACCTTACGCTATTCTTGAGTCAACAGAAAGAATGTTGATCTAATTTTATAGCTTCACATTTCTGGGAAAAACAAAGATAAACTACTAAGGATAGAAATAATTCAGATAAGAATTTGAAAAGTTCTTCAGGAAGAAGGAACACTACTTTTTAAGGATGAAATTGGTGATAGTTGTGAATTTTGAATTCTTTAGGTGCCTTATGTTTAATATATCCTACAGTTATATCTCATTCCTAGAAGTTCACCATTTAAAAATACACGTGAAAACTTGATTTCCAGTAGAACAATTAAGAAGCACATAGTTAAAGATGATCTTCTGAAAGGCATTATAACAGTTTTGCCATTTTTCAGGAGAGATTTCTATTATCTTTGCCTTCACATGCACAGATGTGAATTTTTAGTAAAGAATGAATGAGTGAAATCCTTTATGAAGGTTTTTAAGTATATTTTTTGAACACAGTTCTCAGCTTGTTTTTTTTACTATCTATGTAGGTAAATTTGAACTGATTAATTATATCAGTGGTTACCAACGTTTTTGGCACCAGGGGCCAGTTTTGTGGAAGACAATTTTTCCACAGACCGGGGTTTAGGGGATGGTTTGGGAATGATTTAAGTGCATTGCACTTATTGTGCACTTTATTTCTATTAGCATTATGTTGTCATATATAATGAAATAATTATACAACTCACCCTAATGCGGAATCAGGGCAAGCCCTGGGCTTGTTTTTCTGCAAGAAGATGGTCCCATCTAGGGATGATGAGAAACAGTGGCAGATCATCAGACATTAGATCCTCATAAAGAGCACACAACCTAGATCCCTTACATGTGCAGTTCACAATAGGGTTTGCTCTCCTCTGAGAATCTAATGCCGCTGCTGATCTGACAGGAGGCGAAGCTCAGGTGGTAATGCAAGTGATGTAGAGTGCTGCAAACACAGATGAAGCTTCACTCACTCACTCACCACTACTTCCTACTGTGCAGCCCCTTTCCTAACAGGCCACCAACTGGTGAAATGCACAGATCCCCAACCCCTAGTACCAGTTTGTGGCCCAGGGGTTGGGAACCCCTGCATTACACAATCAACATACATGCAATTATTCAAATGAAGTCAAATATACAAAAATGAAACATTATGAAGAGTATTTTTGAAATTGTTATTATCATTTATTAGTGGATCTTTAAGTCAGTTTAATAGGTCAAAACCAGCATTTAAAATATAATATAAGCCGGGCTCGGTGGCTCACGCCTGTAATCCCAGCACTTTGGGAGGCTGAGGCAGGTGGATCACGAGGTCAAGAGATTGAGACCACCCTGGTCAACATGGCGAAACCTGTCTCTACTAAAAATACAAAAATTTAGCTGGGCATGGTGGCACGTGCCTGTAATCCCAGCTACGCAGGAGGCTGAGGCAGGAGAATTGCTTGAACCCAGGAGGCAGAGGTTGCGGTGAGCCGAGATCGTGCCATTGCACTCCAGCCTGGGTAACAAGAGCGAAACTCCATCTCAAAAAATAATAATAATAATATAAAATAGAAATAGTGGAGTTCACTAAATGTAAAATGTCTACGTATTTCTTTAAGACATCTTATGATATTTTTATTATGCAAGTGTTGTGTATGTGTGTTAGAAAGAGAGAAATTGTCCAATTTAAGTGCATTTCTTATCAAGAAAAACGTTTGAAGGCTACTGTTCTGGAGGAATGAGAAGAGAGGAGGAAGAGTGGTGTGTTGACCAGGAAATGCTTAATCTTATCAAAGACAAATATTGGTTATGGATCCCATTTCACACTTCATTTCAGTAGCCATAGTTCATTCTCAGTCCTTTAGAATCCACCAGATCTTTACATCCTGCACCCCTCAGCTTCATTATTGTGTTCTTGCTCGATGATTTTTAACCAAAACCATAGCTTAGAGAATGAATGTATTAAAACTGGATGTCAACCTTAATAAGATTCAGCAAGTACCTACTTTATCCTCTATTTCATCTTTGTTAGCAGAGCTGAAATGTACTAGAATTTGTTTCACGATCTTACCAATAATACTACAACATTGTGTCTGATGAATACTGAAACACCTTTTCAACTCTGAGCTTTAACACTACATTAAATATTTCTAACTGGAAAAGTCTTTATTTCAAAAGGGCTGAGGAGAAACGTCAGATTTCCTGAATTTATCTCAGAAGGATTGCCAATACTAAAAAATGAGCATAAAAATTCAAACTATGGTCTATGGTGTCTTCTGTTAACCAAGACATAATATTAGTATTAAATAATAGCTAGATCTGGAGTATTTAACTGTTATTCTGGATTTTTATATGTTGACAAAAGAAACAGAAAGGTTAGAGCCATCAGCAGCTTGGGAGCTTATTAAAGCATTAGAGTTTAAAAATTTTTCTTTCCAATTCTTTAACTTGGGTTCACTTTAAATGTTAAGAACAAATCACATTATTATTAAAGAATGATAAATATCTGAGTTACCTCTGGGGATTATAAATTTGGGATATTATATGGTCTGATCCTTGAAGCAATAAACTGACCATATCTCAAGAACAGAGGCCTAAACGAGAGGAGTTGGCATTCATACCCTAACCTCTATTGCCACCATGACCAGAGTTTTTGTTTTGTTTTTGTTTTTTTCATTTTGAGACAGAGTCTGGCACTGTTGCCTGGGCTGGAGTGCAATGGCATGATCTCAGTTCACCTCAACCTCTGCCTCCTGGATTCAAGCAATTCTCCTGCCTCAGCATCCCAAGTAGCTGGGATTACAGGCATGTGCTACCATGTACAGTTCAGTAGTATTAAGTACCTTCCTATTGTTGTGCAACCACCACCAACATTCACAACCAGAATGCTTTTTATTTTGCCAAACTAACTGGATACTCATTAAACAATAACTCCCCACTCCTCTCTCCCTGCAGCCCCTGGTAATCACCATGATACTTTCTGTATCTAAGTATAATCACTCATAATACTTTCTTTCAGCCCCTGGTAATCACCATTATACTTTCTGTCTCTGACTACTTTAGGTAAGTAGAATTGTAACAGTATTTGTCTTTTTGTGACATATTTCACTTAGCAGAATGTCCTCAAGGTACATTCATATGGTAGCATGTGTCAGAATTTCCTCTCTTTTAAAGACTGAATAATATTCCATTGTATACATGTATAACATTTTATTCATCTATTCATATGTCAATAGTCAGGTTGCTCACACATTTTGACCATTGTAAATAATGCTACTATGACAGAAATGTACAAATATCTTTTCAGGGCCCTGCTTTTAATTATTTGGGGCATATGCCCAGAAGTGGAATTGTTGGATCATATAGTAATTATATTTCTACCCTCCATACTGTTCCCCATGGTTTCCCATGATTGTCACACCATTTTGTATTCCCATCAACAATGCGTGAGGGTTCTAATTCCTTCACATCCTCAACAATTTCTATCTTTCAATTTTAAAATTATGGCAGCCATCCTAATGGGTATAAAGTTTCTTTTGAATTTTTTTACAACCAAAATATATTCACATACTATTTTTTAAACATTTAAAATATCTCAACAATATGGTGTGAAACTTAAGCATATATATTCTCTAAAAGGCTTGTTGATGTTATTTCTGGTTAAATAATTCTCTTCTCTAAAAGAAGATGCAATTGTGTAAAGAATAATTGCAGGCCGGGCGCGGTGGCTCAAGCCTGTAATCCCAGCACTTTGGGAGGCCAAGGCGGGTGGATCACGAGGTCAAGAGAGCGAGACCATCCTGGTCAATATGGTGAAACCTCGTCTCTACTAAAAATAAAAAAAATTAGCCGGGCATGGTGGCGCATGCCTGTAATCCCAGCTACTCGGGAGGCTGAGGCGGGAGAATTGCCAGAACCCAGGAGGCGGAGGTTGCGGTCAGCAGAGATTGCGCCGAGACGAGATAGTGCCATTGCACTCCAGTCTGGTTAACAACAGCGAAACTCCATCTCAAAAAAAAAGAATAATTGCAATGCGGTTGGTGAGAAGGGCTAGTTGGCCTACGGTGGAGTAATATAGAGCATTTGGGGAAATTCACCTACTGGGAAATAACCCATCTGCATGAGCTGGCCCTACAAACCCAGGGGGATTAATGGGGGTACCTGTACATTGAGCTCTTACAAATATCTAAGAGAGGAGTATAAATTTTTCATATAAGGGATTAAGAAGGATGTTTTAAAAATAAAAGCTTTAGTTCATTGTTTAGGGGATTTTTTTTCTGGGATAAATTTTCTTGAATTGTTAACTGATAATTTAATTGTTACTCAAAATAATCAAAATAGCAGCATGTTTCCTTCACTCTAAAAACTTAGCTGGAAAACTTGTCCTCCTCCTTCTCTTCCTCTTTCTCCTTTATGAGCAGTTCAGTAACATTAGAATTGAACATTAATGAGTGTTTAAAAGGAATGATTTTGGATGGAGAAGAGTTTTATGTTGTCAGTAGTCAGTAGTTCTGGTAAGGGCAAATATAGCATCATATTAATGGAAAGATCTGTTTAACAGCTATGTATACATAGACATACACACACACATACATATACATGCTAGAATCTTGAGAGCATAGTGTGATTTTAGTAGATTTTGAAGAATGTTTTCTTCTGCCATTATACGTAAGGGGAG